CTCTACCAGGACCACCTCTACCTCTACCCGGACCGCCGAAACCGCGTCTGGGTTGCTTCCCACCTCGACCTCGTCTGGGTTGCTTGCCACCTGTCCTAGGTCTGGCTGGTGTCTTGTATCCCACGGTAGACCTACCGGTGGTTGTACGAGCCAGATACCCTCGTCCGGTCGGTGTGGGTGCTCTACCTGGTACGTCTCGACGAGTGCTCAAACCTGAGGGACCCGCTCGGGCTGGGGGAGGACTTGCACCGACTCCAGCCACACTACCCGTGGAGCGGGGACTACTTTGAGCCGATGCACTACGTCGTGGCGTACTTTGAGCCACAGCACGAGGTCCTGCGGTGCCTGCCCCAGCGGGGGGTGTATTCATTAGGGGTGGAGTGGTGGATGTACCCACTCCCGGACTCAAACTTTGAATGTACTGAGACAAAAAGTCGTCGTTGTAAGCGTAGGCCAAGTCGATGTCCTCCAGAGGTGAAAGAGATGAAGGTAATGCTTGAGCGATGATATTGGGAGCGGTGCCCACGCCAGCTGGAGAGGTATAATAACTACTCATCGTAGATAACTAGGATCTTTCTTTTCTCGAGCCACCAGTCTTTGTGCCAACAGCAGTTTATATTTAATATGATCTGTGAAATTATCGTCGTTATATGCGTTTAAAAAGGCTTGCACTTCGCGTTTGCCGGTGCACTGCAAGACCTGTTTCATGGCTTGGTATTCGACATCTCCCTCACTCATGCACCAGTCCAATTGCGATTGACAAATGTCTATGAATCGCTGGAACCATTCGACTTCACTGCGTAGCATCTTCACTTCAACTGATGCATTCGCATGCAACCCTCTTCTTTTAGCAGATGACTGAGGATACGTTGATCGTCCCGGCTTTTAGGGTGTAAATCCAACAAGAGATAACCAAACGGTCGATCGGTCACCTTTCGAAAGGTGTCTTGCACATCTTGCCATCGCGAAGGAAAGGCTTGTAACAACAAATTTCGCATCCCCAGTTGATCTCTAGGGTTCTTGAATCCCACGATATAATGGGCGTTTCTTGAGATACTCTTGGAAAATTTACCGGGTGGAAACATGTCTTGCGATAAATAGATCACCGTGATGTTTCGATGGTGAGAATCTTTGGTGAAGAGATCCAAAACGCGTTTATCGTTGCCTCCTTCTTCCATCAGATCATCCAACACCAGTAAGCCACCCTTAGGAAACCAGATGGGTAAGAGATCGGAGTCGGGAATGCCGTGATGGAATTTCACACCATACTCTTTCATGAGTTTGAATCCGTCTTGCCAGGAACCATAACAGTAATAAATGTGTTTGGGTGGTGTCTCGAACAAATGGAGATTGTCCACCAATAATTTGGTGGTGAAAACCGTTTTACCCGATCCCGACGGACCCACCACCATTATGCTAGAAGGCGTGTTAAATCGAAACGCTTCGCGTCGTTCCATGGTCAAGTCCCATATGGATGAGAAAAAAGGAGTTCGTTTCATATATAAACCACATGGGGTACCTTATTGAAAACCGTGAGGTCCGGATAGACAGGATTCCCTTTCCTGCGCGCAGGAGCCATAGATCAACACGCACTTGTCTTGACACCTTGACTTCACATTTTTCAAACTTTATTACAATAAATGTCTTACACCGCAACGAGATGTACAAGTGTCTTGCTCGTAATCACAGCGACATACTTCATCCCAATTCAACTCTTTGTGTATCAATTTTTTTAACATTTGTCCCACTTTATGATCATTTTGTACGTAATCGTGAGGACTGAAACGACGTAGAAACGTGTTCATGTCATGACCTTTCGATCGATCGATCAAAAACATCAAAGCGTAATCACCGCAACTCTGACTGTAAAGCGATTGCAGACTCTTGCCGTTGTGTATGTTAAACTTCCAATGTTGATCCAACCACCTCTGTAAAGGTTCAGTGGTCATGTAGGTATCCAAGGGAAGGGCGTAACTGTCCATGATCTCACAAGAGTCCTTGAACGTTCATAGCGCAATCCAATGCCGACCCGGTTGGCCTTGAGGGTCCGTGTTGACGATGTAACCCATAGGTCCTTTCTTGTTGGGTTTCTCGGGTAAACGATCGCAAGGCACCGTGCCGTAAAAATAGGGTTTCAAACTGGGTTGACTCCTGGCCAACACGTCCAACTGCACGTTGTTCAAACTGACTTTTTCCATTACACTTGGTACACGTCGTATTGCACGGTCTTGTTGCTGTTGATCTCCAAGAGATTTTCAAATTC